TTTAAATCCTGTCTAAGACATGGTAGTTTCTTCCTAATGATGTGATGAGCATATAACCATGAAAAGTCCCTTTCATTGACCTTTGTTTCTTGGGATGAACATGTTTACTTTTAATTAAATGATCCTGTGCTGAATACTAGAGCTGATGCTGTTCAGAAGGCAAGAGAGAGGATGAGAGACTGGGAGACACACACACACACACACACACACACACACACACACACACAAAGAGAGAGAGAGAGAGAGAGAGAGCGAGAGAGAGAGAGAGAGCACAAGAGAGAGAGAGAGAGAGAGAGAGAGAGAGAGAGAGAGATTGTTTTTCTCCCTTTTTTCCAGTCTAGCCCCCAGGTCATCTGTCTATAACAGGGTAATTTGAAGATGCTTTCAGACTTAGTAACCATGGAAGCTTGGATTGACAGAGGACTCCCTGAGTTAGTGCATCAAGCCAGGTACCATGGACAAGACAAACTGATGACTGCACATTTCATTCCTACTGTCCCTGAATACTGAATGTTGGGGTTGTAGAAATGGCAATTTAGGGAATATGGATATTGAGTTCCAAGATTGCATTCTGCTGAAGAAGGGCATTGACAACCATTGGGGTCCTGAGAATGTTGCCATATCATCAAATCCTGGAATATCTGTTTGTTCTTTCTTGGACAGGTCATGTAGCACCCACTCGGGTCTCCTAGATCTCAACAGATGACAGCAGTGTAGGAGATGAAGTTAATTTTAGAAAAAAAAAGGGTTTCTGAAGTCCTGGATTCAGATCAGTGACAGGACAGATGATGGGGTGATTTGAGAAAGATAGATCCCAGATGATGAAGAAAAGAATCTGGGATCATAGAAAGGTTGAATTCTATTTTTCTGAAGTGCTTCATTGGACCTGTTTGCATGTGTCCAATTCAGCACCCTGGACCTTAATTTTGCCTTTGCAGAGAAGTTTAGCAGGCCTTTCAGTACTCAGGCAGAGAGACAGATAGACACATACAAACACACACACAAACACACAAGCACACACACTCACACACACACACACACACAGAGACAGAGAGAGAGAGAGAGGGAGGGAGGGAGAGAGAGAGGAACACATACAAACAGACACATAATAGCTCAGTTTAGGTGGAGACCAGTCCAGAACAAGTACAGCTTCAGGTATTCATTTAGGGTGCTGAGGCAAAAACAGAGGACTAGGTAGTGAGAGACAGACTTTGGCTTAAGGTAGCAGGCAAAGCAGTTAGAATTAAACACTCCCATCCAGGGTGTAGAAACATGTACAGAGAGACACAGACAATGAGAGACAGAGATACAGAGTAACAGAAACAGAGACAGAGACAGTGAGTGCTAGAGAGAGAGTTAGAGAATGAAATGACAGACAGACACACAGACCGTCCAAGTCTTAGTGTAGGCTTGGATTAGTGCATTATACATCCAGAGGCTGGCTACCAACATACTCATGTAGAAGCTGTCTCTACCTAATGAACTCAGTCCTGCTGCTGTTATCATCTCTTGCACCCAAGTAGATCCAGTCACATGATATTTAAATCTAGTCTATGAAATTGAATTTAAATCTTCGTGAAGAAGCTAACCATGGAAAACTAACCTTTTTCACAGTAATGTGATTTCTTTCGTTCTCGTAGTCCATTTATGTAATTCTTAGGGCATTTGATAATGCTCCACAAAATGGCATTGAACAGATTTTCCACGGTAACAGTAGCAGCTACAATCCCTCAAACATAAGATGCACTTCCAATGGGGATAGCTGAAGGAGGCTCGGTGCCCAACATCTCAGAAGTTGGAGTCAGCGTCTTAACTCATCGACAATTGTGGAACAAAAAATGCCCGAACCGTTGAGACGACACAGCGATCCGAACAGTGGAGGGAAGGAACTCCCAATGTCGTAAGTCTGACACCCACAAGGTGATTCAGCGAATGTGGTGGTGGACCTCTTCGTTGGGAAACACACTGCCTTCTTGTGGTGTTTCAGTATTTGGCCAGCTACAGAAAATACCTCTGTGATGACCCGATCAACAGAGCCAGAGTGTGAAGAGAGTTCACAGCGAGAGAGAGTCTCCATGGCTTTCACAGCTGCAGAATTGGTCATTTGTTTACATGGAAGGGGAAGGCTTGCTGTGGAGACGGAACCCTGAGCAACGGAACAGGAATCTTAGAATGTCCCTGAACTTTAGATTTTCTGACATGGTTGGAGAGGGTGAGTGGGGGAGACAGGAGAATTTATGAAGAGGTTCAGAGGAAGATACTAGAGAGAAGATAGCAGCGAGGACTTGAAATGTGACAGAGAGAATAATACATTAGTTGTGGGTAGGGATCTGTCTTTTAAAGGGTATTTTAACCTTGCCTGCAGACTTAGTACCCATGGAACCCTGGAATGAACAGAGTACTGA